GTACTCAGACAAAGGCGACAAGGAAAGAGGGCGAGAAAAGGAAGGAAACAGGGGAAAAGATGCAAGGAAGCAAGGCAAGCGAGCGAGCGAGCGAGAAGACTACACTTTGGACCGAAGGGACATGGAATGCGTAATGTTACCTTGTATCGAGTACACGATGTGCAATGCGCAATGCGCAATGCGTGATAGTGATGCATGATGCATGATGCATGATGGCACGGGGAATTAATATGCATGGGGCGATAAATTGAATTCACCACGAGCCTCCATCCCTCTCTTCCATCCCTCGCTCCCTCGCTCTCTCGCTCGCTAGTAATTACGAGTTGCACTCGCTACTGTACCTCGTATAGATATCTTTTCCATCAAGGATCATAGACTCGTGCCGGAGTTTGGTTTCTGATTATTATTTTTTGGATTATTCGTGGCTTGTTGGCTTGTTGGCTTGTTGGCTTGTTGGCTTGTCGACTTTCTTGTTTCATGTGCTCGCCCCTCGTGCAGTAGCTCGTCGTGATTCGTGACTCGTGACTGGGATTATAAATGCGCAATACCTACCTACCACCCTAGATACTCGCATTACGAGTGTGGGCGTGTCCGTATCCGCGTCCGCGTCCGTGTCCGTAGTCATGTCCGCAAGCGTGGGCGTTTTGACATAAATACTGATTTCCGTTGATCGGGGGTGGCTTGAAGGTCGTGCGAAGGGATCTGAAATTCTCCGTGGATAAGATCGCGATGAGATGAGATGAGATGACATGGTCAAAGTCGGAAAATACTTGACGTGCTGAGCGCTGGGCTCGAGACAAGCCACTAGCGAAATCAGATGGCGCGCGAGGACGCATAGGTACCAGCCTACCTGCCTTGCATCTTGCATACAAACACAACGGATATCAGCAGCCGCCACAATCTTTCACGTGTTCAGCGGGTGCAAAAAAACTCTGAGCTTCCCACGGGAGTAGATTTACTTTCCCATGGTGTGGTGTGGTGTGGTGCTGGCTGTCAGTCCAGGGTGGTTAAAATTGGAGGCTGACGAGGCTGAGGCCGGCCAATTTTACGCATGCATCAACGCGCATCTGTCTGCCGATTGGACGGTGTGACAATGCGACAGCCACGAGGGATCCGGTGTCAAGAGGGAGCCTGGTCTTCACATACCTACGGATAATAGCTCCTTTGCGATAAAGTTGTGGAAATCAGACATTGGGATAAAGCAAGCATTGCGGGTATTCCCTGACTGCTCACACTCCGACTTCAAACCCTACAAGGGCCAAATATGCAAAGCACATCCCACAAGAGCGCAGGTCGCATAGAAATGAAACGATACAGAGAGCTGTCCGCTTCTGTGACCATGCTGCCATGCCACGTGTGAAATAATGGGGGAAACCCGGAACGGTCTGTAACCAATAACAAAACCTGGCCAGCTTGTCTCAGGAGATTGTTGCTTTGCACACCTCATACCCATCTCTGGAGCCACCACCATGGACAATAATCGTGGAGATTGGACATCGCGCACATTGACATTGCACGGAGCAAACCTAGTAAACACGACCACTGTCTGAACCTCGGATGTTTGTTCTCGAGCGACTGGACTCACTCTTTCGCCCCCTTGTCCGCTCCAATTGTAAGGATCGGATCGAATTATGGGTGCTGAGAACCTTGTTGACACGTTGGATAAAACATCTGAACAGTCCTTCAACACTTTGAGCTCGCGCGAGTGTGCCCAATGCTGGGTATGACCTTGATGCACTCGGCTTACTCAAATGAAAGCAGTCAGTCTCAGGGCCTTCGCACATCCGAAACACGGCCACGTAACAACACCGCGATGGTAGGGTACCAGCGTTGCATTCAGGGTGACATCTGCACACGAAGAACTAGCGAGTGCTGACGCTTTTGCTGGAGATGGTCCTCTCCTGAAGATCGCTGGACCCAGAGGCATTCGTTACATAGACGGTGCGGTATCAGAAAGCGAGTGAGCCGTCAACGCTTGGTTTCGTGGCTGGGAATCTTTGGGATGGAGGGTAGAAGAGATGGTGTGGCGCTGTTTGCCCTCCTGTGCGCCTGTGAGTCGTGTCCCAGAGTATCAGTTCCCCGGTCCTGCTGCAGAACTACAGACCCAGCCACCTGGTACCGGCAGACTCTGTCTGAGAAACTGCCTATCTTGTGGATCCGCGTGTATCATTCATCCAGACATGTCGCTTTCGCCGAAGGGGCATTTGCATACAAGACTCGACTACCCTCCAAGGATCATGCAAGAACGACTTGCCCATCTGGTGGGAACGTATGGAGGCAACCGTGTAACCCAACCTCAACAACCTCTTGTGGGGATTTCGGAAAACGCAAACCTTTCCCTGGTTGTCCCTTGGATCCAAAGCCCACGAATCCACAAGCTGGTTGAAAGAGATGCTGGGGCATCCAAAGCCGGCAAGGACTCAGGAGAAGCGGCTCGGCATCGACTCTGGATTCATGCTGGTGCTGTGGATAGAAGAGAGAATCCCAATGGCGGATATTCAAATTTCAACGTGGGCCTGAACCTAGGGAATGGTCCCCGTCCGGCACCAAGCAGTGGTGGGACCAAAGGTACAGGAGGGAGTACATAGGTAGGTACATACATACTTGCTCGGTAGGTGGAATCCAACCGAGTGATAGGAGAGGAACTTCTCAGGGTCACAAGCAACCGCAGCAGAAATTCCATTGCCGCTCAAGAGCACCAGGTCAGGGTTCAAGGAGCGAGTCCAGACTCTGTGCAGCCACAGTGATGACAGAGTTTCGATGACCTTTCGAGTTCTGGTCCCCGAAACTCGAGTTACGCTGTCTCTCGGAAGAATGAGACATCACTCACCTTTAGGGCCTCCAGCCTGCGTCCAAAGAACACATGCTCCTAGACTCGTTGATCAAGCCGTTACATATGGGCTGAATTGGACGTGAAACAGCCCACCACCAAGAGTTCATAAGGCGGCACTGACGGATACAACGTGCCTACCACCAACCTTGCTGTGATTCGTTCTTGATGTGCATCTCGTCTTGATTTTGTCAGAGTCTAAGTGAATCCTCCTGGTGGCTTCCTGAAGAATGGAAAGAGAAGAAGATCAAAGAAACCTCCGAACGATGAACGACGGTGCCAGTTGCCGGTCCCACCAACGCTATACCGTCATAGGAAGGATTCCCTAGCGCAGTAGCGCTTACTCGCACCTCGTGTTTCCTGCACTTACTCGTAAAAGCGCAAGTCGAGTCTCTACAATTCTTCAGGGCGCGGATGCAGGAACCTTGCCCCGCCATGCCCACCACGCCCACCACACCCCTCGACGACTAGACATAGGTAGCTACCTTCCTACTTGTACATACCTATGTAAGTACAGTCTTGTTACAGACCCTTGGGCCTTGCATGAACGGTCCAGGTGGTGCCCAGTCGTGCCAGGGGCAATGGACCTTCGAGAAGCGTTCCACTGGTGGGTTTTCCGCTGCGATGATGCCTGGTCCTCTCTGTGTGTGATGTACCAAGACAAGTCTGTTTCAGATTTCTCGCCGCCAGGCCAGAGAGCCCCGAAACCCTCCGGCACGGCTGGCAGGCATGTTGTGGGGTTTCTGGCATGACTCTCGCAGAGTCGTGACAAAGCGTTGTCTGGATCGAGTAGAGTTCGTCTCTGTGCGTGTACAAGTACCTATACAGGACGAGTAGGTATGTCATCGCCCTCGTGCATGGCGGGGTCGACCTGCGGGCACAGAGGGATACATTACGTCTGAGCGGCCATGGGCTGGAAACTGACCAGGGATGTTCCCCGAAAAAGCATCATAGCACATGTCCATTTGCTCAGAGAATGGAAATGGACCTACGCAGGTAGGTATGTCAGTGACTGCCCACGGGGGATGCTGGAAGTGGAACTTCGCAAGAAATTGAACATAACATCCCGCTGTATCGACTCAATGCTTTTGGTTGTCACCTCCGAGATAAGAATTGAAAGCAACGAAATTGTGTTCGAATGCCCCTTTCCTGAGACTTCAAGCAGGACGATCTGACAGAAACGCTGTATCCATGTCTCACCCTCGGCAGAAGTCCTCGGGCACACATGGGAAGCCCGTGGTTCACAAATGACGAGCTCGATCACAACCACTTACAGATGCCGGATTGTGCGCAGGATTTCAAACGAGTAAAAGCCAGCTTCCGCCTTCCTCTCCGGGCTAAGCTGGAGCATTGACAGGGGATGCATGTAGTCACCAAAGTGAGTGGTTTTGTGGTGACGAACAACACTTGTTAATCAGACGCAACCATGTGGTAGTTCACTGCCGGTTTCGAAAGGCGAAGTCCCTTGTGGAATCATTCATGCTACTCGGGCAACGTGCAGACTTTCGTCTTCGAGGTCGCGTCAAAGGATCCTTTCAACGACAGGTTTGTGTTGTTCTAACAATCAGCATGGCGTTGGAGTCAGGTCCCAGCCGTCTGTCATGGGGACCACAGATGGCCTCCGAGGACTTGATCCTTGAACTTGACAAGAGCGCAAAGCTAAAGGGCATGTATTTGTCACCTTCCGTACATGCACAGTCCTCTACTGAAAAAAGAGGACCGTGTTTGGTAATTGGAAGGTCAATCCTCCATATAGGCACGATAGATTGTTCTCCTTCAGACATCGCGCATTGAAGAAAATAGACACGACGCTGTACACACAAATGCCAGTGACCAGTGATTCGGTCAAACGTCTTCAACTCGTGGAAAGGGGAAATTGGAGCAAGCAGCCTTGAAGTCAAGGTGTTTTTGAGGTTCAGTCTTTCTCCGAATTTTGTATCTTTCGTTCAAGTCAGTAATCGGACCGTCCGAGAGCGTATCCGCAAGTGTCGAAAACTGTCTCGCTCATCGACACTGGACGAAGGATTCCCAGCACCTGGGCCATTCCATCGCAAACAGTAAACCCCTCTTCATTGACGCCGTGGGAAGTGTCGTTTCGCTTTTCTCCTTGCTCATCGCATACCACAACTCAAGCTTTCGTGCCGAATCTTGAAAGTCCCCGCCTCCTAATTTATGCAGCGTCTCTCTTGCCCTCCCGAACCTCCTTGAGCGCCTTCATCGTTCCGTGCAGGGCGTGCTTGTGATTTCTTCGGAACTTGGGATCCGTGCCTTTGAGGGATGGGTATCTGAAGGTCTTGGGCTTCTTGATCCTATTTGTTACAGATACGTCAGTCCAGTCAGTTCCTTCTGGGTGTGAGCGATCGTCAGGAGGCACGGCGATTGTATTTCCTGCGACTGCGAAATTCGTACCCGTTCTTGTGAGCCTTCTTGGCTTGGTTGTGTTGAGACGAGTTCTTGGATTCTGACACAATGTTAGAGTCGGGATCCCCAGAGTCCTCGATTATCCGCGCATAGAGACTTACTGGCCATCTTGACGCTCTCAACGACAATCTGATCGTGGGGGTTTGCAGGCTGGGTTGACGGATCGATCGAACTCGGTCGTTCCAAAAGTTCGTCCAAATTGTCGAATGTGTGTGGCATGGCATCAGGAAGGTCAGCCGAGGCCTTGGCAGCTGGTCTGTGCAAGGCTGTGGTATCGCGTGCCAGCCTTGCCCCTCAAATCTTGGTGCAAGCACTTGCAACACTCTAATTGGAACTACAAAGTTTGGATTCATGACATTTCAATAACATGGGAATTTTGTTGACATTTATTACGGAGAGATCACTCCCAGTGGCGGTTGACTTGTCGCAGGTGCCGTATGTACCTAAAGTAAGATACCATCCAGAGCTCATCAGCACTGATCAGCAGTTGGAATATGACAATATTGAGAGGTCTATGGGAGCTCAAATTTTCTGTCTAGGCCTAGCGACCATCGTTCATCCAGATTCACGTGCATCTTAGTAACAAATCTTTTGGTATCATAATGCAGGGTCATTCACATTCTGGGCGTAATCATGCTTTTTTCTCTCTTCACATCTGACCACCTTGTGCGATAAACTTTGCAAAAAAGACCTTGAATGCCTTTGGTTCCATGGTCGCCAATTTCTGCAAGTATTCGGCGATCATGTTATCGTTCATGCCCATCGTCCTCAACTCCTTTTCCTGTAACCAAGTCAGGTATTGCTGACCTGTTTTGGTGTAGATGGTCTTCTGAAGCCCAGCGGCCTCGGACAGAGCTTGCCGTGCCTGTGCATCCTTGCTATTAAACGAAGGGTTAGTTGGTAGAGCCCAACAGAGTGGCGAGAATCGTGTGATCATGAATTGATCAAACCCGGGAAGCGCAGGCTGTGGCCCGGGGACACTGCTATTCACTTGGCCAGTCGCGGAAACCACATCAGGTCCGCCCCATACTGTGCACATTCTTGATAGCAGTAAGAACGCCATCTTCGCAGTAGGGAAGTCGTCCACATCTCGTGCGAGATGTTCGATGGAGCCAATCACCGAATCAAAGATCGGCTGGTTTCTGGCGCTGACCAAAATCGCGCCGAGGTCGTTCCCAAGGATCACCATGAGGAAGTTGAGGTACTCTCTCTTCAATTCCGCCAGCTCGATTTCATCGTCCGTCCCTGCAGTGGCTGCAGATATGCCAGCAAAGACTCTTTGAAGAAGTCCTGAGAAGAGCCGATCGAGAAAGTCCTGTATGTCGTTTTTGAAGCCGAAAATGACTTGGTCTAGTAATCGGAGGAAGAGCGCCATCTCGTCTCGCGTCGACGAGTCAGTCAATAGGCCGTCAACCCACTGAGGTAATTGCTGCATCATCTGGGTACCGACCATGCCGATCAAACGTGAAAACGCAAACCTTGCGGCGGTTCTGATCTGAAAGGACGAGTTGAGCGCTGTTAGAGACACAAGGGTTACCTCAGCGACCTGTGCAAATGCCTGCTTCGCCTGTGGGGATGGCTCAACCCCACTTCCTTGCGTGGCGAGCCCAGGATTGAAATCGGAGAAACCTCGAGCAATTGTACCCAGCGCCATGATACCGTGATGCACTTGCAGACCGGCAAGTTCATTGCCCGATCGAGCGGCCTCCAAGTTACGCTCGATATCAACAAAGAGCGGCTGCATGACCGCAGATAGATATTGTACCTGCTTGTCTGAAGGGACGGTATTCGCACCGCATATGCAGCCCACAGCTTCGAAAAGATACAGCTGACTGGTAAAAGTAGAGTCGGTGGCCGAGTCGCCGTCGGAGGACATATCATCGCGGTCTTCTTCACTGGGTAACTCTGCCCGGATGGCCAGGAGGTCCTGCAGACGTTGCACGACCGCTTCAGCCGCATTTCCCACAAAGCCGCGCAGTTGACGGATGAGACGTTGAATGAGATACCATGCTCGCGCCTTGACTTTCAAGCTCGGATGGTGGGCGAGTTCGAGGAAGTTTTGTAGAACTGGCTGAATGTACTCTGAGTGCTTCTCAAAAAAGGAGCTGTATCTGACGCTGATTTCCATATATTGCAGCTGTATGGCGGGGTGTGCGAAGGAGCCTGTGTCTGGGAGCCTGTTAGCAGGATTAGGGAAATACTGGCACTCTCACTTACTCGACTGCACCATTTCCAGCATCATTCGCACTAGCTTTTCCGCCGCAGGCGAGTTTGGCTTGTTCTTCTGATACAAACCACCTCCCCTTACAGCCAGATCCCCAATGAGATACACTTCATGTAGTGCAAGATCCAGGTCGCGCCAATTGAGCCCTGATCCTTCTGACCGCAGCCGTTCAAAGGTATCGTGAACAAGGGCTGAAATTGCGTCGATATAGAGCTGCTCATCCGCTGCGGCGATGGCTGATTGCAAGCCCGCCAATCGTTTTCTCAACTCCTGAAACTCTGCTTCATCTGTCTGCTCGTCCTCCTGACCCCAGTCGGCAGTGTCATCGTACCTCATCTTGAGGAATATTCCCTTGAGGATGGGTAGGAGCATTTGTGCCCTTTGGGCTGAGGCGTTCTCCCCCTGGCTCGTGCGCCTCAAAAAAGTGAGAACGTCATTCATAGCATTGAGGACCGTTGAACAGACTTCGTCGAATATGTCGGAGAAGAATCTAAGCAAGTGTGGCAGAAAGGCAACCAGGAGCTGTTCAGCCTTGACCCATGTCGGCGAGCCCTGGGTCTCCGTCTCCAACACTTTGACAATATCCACTGTTGTGGTGTTGACCAGTTTTGCAACCGTTTCAGCAAGATCGACATCATAGTTGGAGGCTCTGCTATCCCTCAGCGGCGGACAAGTGACGAGTTGCGAGACGACTGTTTCAAGGTTGAGAAAGGTGATCATGTTGACTTTGTCCGCGGACGGCATCTTCTTTGCCACGGTCTCAGTGAAGACATCGATGGCGGCGTCTCGTGCTTGCTCCTCACTCTTGCGAGGATCGACTTTTTGGGCGCGTTCCAGCTGCTGGAATAGCAGTTCGAGCATCGACTGGTTCACCACAAAGGAGATGTCGACCCAGCTAACCCACTTCCCAATTGCCTTTAAGCACAACTCGGCCACAACGTCGTTGGAAGTTCCCCAGTGGGACAAGATCTCCTCCCACGACCGAGCGATTTTTTGAACATCACGAGCTCGAATCAAATCTTTTAAAGTATTTGCCCTGTCCTGTTCGGCTCGAGACCTGGAAAGTAATTGATCTCCGATCTCATCATGAATGGCATTGAGGACTGTTAGATAGAAAATGAGACCTGGGTAATTGTCTTTTGGGCCGGAACCTGTTGAAGTAAGGGCCAATAAGTCATCGAAGCAAGTCTCCCATCCGGCGCCATAAAAGGTTGAGAATAGGAATGTCACGGTCTGAGCAAACTTGTTGACGATGGTGCCAGGGTCTGGTGTGTCTGTCTGGCCTGGTGCCCCGTAGAACTTCCGCAGATATGTCATGAGCTGATCTTCAATGGTTTTCAGGCCTTGTTGGTCCACCAGGCCACCTTGAACTGCATTATTGACGATCTCGAGGCAGTAGACTCGAATGACCATGGGCTGTCGGGGGACTTGTAAGGAGATGGCCAGACATGGCTGCCATGCTGAGGGTTCTTGTCTCAGCTGGTTGACATAGTCAAAGGCCTGTCGTTTGAGGGCTGGGTTCGCGGAGGGGTCGTAGGCGATTTGAATCGCCGAGATTATCTCGAGGACCAGTTAGCGACAGCACTGAGATTGGTGAGAGACGACCAACCTGTTCGTCCATCACGTAATACCAGTGTTCCTCGCCCACCGCGCTATGACTTCAGGAACACTGGGCAAGGAAGATAGTCACCGCATTTGGGCGTGACGAAAGTGGAAGCACGTGCTTCCAGAGTTAGTCCATGAGAAAAGCCAGCGTTGTTGAGGAATTGACAATGAAGAATGGGTGCAGGCATGAATCGAAATCAACAGATGGTGTAGTGGATGTCTCTAGAATTTCGGTTACTGCAAAGTAGAGAATGCAGAGAATGTTCCAACGTCGGGCACCATTATTCGACTGGTGCCTCATTCCGCATCTTTCGAGGCGGAGAAATCTCCCTCCAAATGTTTCCGGCCTTGGCAGCCAAAGCAAAGTAGAAACTGCTTGGAGTTCACGTGCGACTCACCCCGAGCGTGCCGCTTTTATAACCACTCACTTGCCCCTCTAGGATGTACCTTCGCACTCACCTCGCTCACCTTCACACTCGCCCTTGATCCTGAACCTGCTCCACGGCATGCAGCGCCAGCCAGGACCAAAATATGGCAGCGCGTGGCCCTTTCCCTCTCTGACGCCTCTTCGACTTTCGACCACTTTCTCGTCCCCTCGCCTCAATCGACCCTCCCTCCTTTCCAATAACGAACAACCCCCCCCTTCCCGACCCCTCGGCCCGCTAGATTCCGCACCCCTCCCCCCTGCCCCTTACCCCACCACGACCACCCCGACAACCACCTTGCGTCAGACCCGGGCTGTCCGGGTGCCACAACAAAAGCACACCA